ATGTTGATGTAACATCACACCTATATCCCTGATGTTGATGTAACACCACTCCTGTATTCCTGATGTTGATGTAACATCACTCCTGTATCCCTGATGTTGATGTAACATCACTCCTGTATCCCTGATGTTGATGTAACATCACTTCTGTACTGATGTTAATGTACCCCACCCCCCATAACGACCACATCAAAACGCGGACAATCTGGACAAATGAATAATTTACCGGGAATACTTCCAACATCGCGACACTTCGCTATGTTTTCCCGCGGCGTTGTGCTAATGTACGTTGTGAGAAGTATCATATTCTTGTACACTTTTCTAAAATTAACGAGCTCCCTATATCTGCTCCTCCCCGCACCCCACACCCACCTCTTTTGATACCCGATAACCGTGTTTATCCCCCTAACATCAGTATCGTGCGGAGAAATATTTCTTCAACACAAGTTACTTCCCCTTACGATCAATTAACTCCCTTGAGTAATCTCATAACATGCTGTGGCGTGAACCCCAACACGCCCACAAAAAAACTTGGAATATTAATTACTTCACGCCATACATCCAACCACGCCAAGCTCTGGCCAGGGGCGGTTTTGTTTTCTGGAAACGAGAGACCTGTCTTCAGACACGCAGACGATACATTTTGACGCGAGAAACCGCGGGAATTTGGGGGAGATGTTTTTGTCAAACAAGGCGAAATTTTGAAAAGTTTGGCTCAAGTCACGGCCTAGAGTTCAGGACGGTGGAGAAATCCTTGCCGTGTTTTTAATTAACGTTCATTAGCGGGGTGTCTGAGAAGGATCTGTTGGAAAACTAAAACTGCACGCGCGCTTAGATTAGCCATACACTTGTATTAGCCGTACCCTTAGATTAGCCATACACTTCTATTAGCCGTACCCTAAGATTAGCCATACCTTAATATTCTTATAACAAAAACTGTAGAAACAGTTCGTTTAGTTTTTCAAGCCAAAATCTTTAAAATATGTTTCTTTTTTTTTTAATATATCAGGAATAAGCTAAAAACTGCTTATTAATAGACCCTATTTTCTGTATTAAATATACTGAACTTAGCCTTTAGAAATGTGCCCAAATGTCGACATAGACACAAACACACACATATGGCATCAGTGCAACATAGGCTAACATTAAGCTGTAATGGACACATAAAAGACACAGACATAATGTGTTACATAAGACTAAATGGCAGACACCAGACAATCAGAAGGCAATATTCAACGTGCTAACTTAGTAAAATTGTGTGTTGCTGTCGTTAACAATAAATACGTATCGATAACAACACACACACACACACACACACACAGACATATATATATATATATATATATATATATATATATATATATATATATATATATATATATATATATATATATATATATATATATATATATATACTTGTACTGTTTTATACAGTCCAATGTAGGCCTACCATTGTTGAGCATGTTAAATATTCGATTGAGTGGAAGTATGGGGTGGGGGTGATAAAAAAAAAGCTTGTTAATCGTTCGCTCCATACACGACTACTGCCCTACATGTTTATGTCAGGTAAACAAATGTTGACTTGAATTTGGTTAAAAAACGTGATGAATGAATCCCACCCGATGCTACTATCTGCTGGCCCATAACTGTCATGATATGACGCACAACACCTACCTTTGTCAGACGCCGGGTCTGATACTATTTGAAGAAAAAAAAACTGATTTGCTAAATTCGGGCACGGCCACTTTAAAGGGAAATAAATAATTTCACTTTCTTACAAGGCTAGTGTATGTTCCCTTGGCATGGGAGATAATCCGCGGTGACCTTTCTGTCAGGTGCTCTCCCCTGATATCTCAGACACAGCAACAAGTGTTGGATTTATCGCAACCGCACCAGGCCCATATTTGCTAAATTAGGAGGTGAGGTCTCCACTGTGTGGGGCTAGGTGGGGAGGAGGTGAGGTCTCCACTGTGTGGGGCTAGGTGGGGAGGAGGTGAGGTCTCCACTGTGTGGGGCTAGGTGGGGAGGAGGTGAGGTCTCCACTGTGTGGGGCTAGGTGGGGAGGAGGTGAGGTCTGTGTGGGGGTAGGTGGGGAGGAGGTGAGGTCTCCACTGTGTGGGGCTAGGTGGGGAGGAGGTGAGGTCTCCACCGTGTGGGGCTAGGTGGGGTAAGACAACGAGCCTACAACAAGCGGTGAGGTGTTTAGGCTGGACTAATGTCGGGCCATTAATCTGATAGGGTGGCCCACAGTTCTCTCATCTGGTGAAGGGTGGCGAAAACTATTGGGTGGGGCAGGCTTTTCTTGGGTAAGGTCTATTACCTAAATTGCAGCAAACACACACACACCTACACCCACGCACATATATATATATATAATATATATATATATATATATATATATATATATATATATATATATATATATATATATATATATATATATATATATATATATACAAAACATCTGGCGTCAGTTCCCACACCTCACAAGACCAAGTCTGACACCGTGATCTGCCCACAAAGATTTATTATTTTTATCTTATAGTCTAAGCGTAAAATTTACATATTTAAATTAGGTTTTTCTTATACATTAGCATAATTTATGTTAAAAAGGCGTTTATTTGTAATTTTCTATAAGCCACTGTTTAACATACTTTAAATTTCCAAATCTTAGTTTATTTTACTTTTTTTTAATTTTCTATCCAAGATACGTATGCGATAAGGTTATGATGTCTGGGATATTATTACGTGATTGCCTTCTCTTTATTGCAACTAATATTTCAAATACATTTGCTGTTTCAAAAGTGGTTTACAAAAATAAACTGTATATTATATAAGTAAAAAAGTTTTGAATTATCCACCCAACAATCACACATCAATAAGAAATATAAGGAAATGATAATTTTTATGAACAAATCAAGAACAAAAAGCACCGCGCTGCGATAAAGCGTATATTTTAGACTGAACTATTATAATAACAATGAAGTAGAGTTCACCTATTTCGGCATACGAAGGGATAGTGTGGTCAGCACTGTGTTCAGCCGGCATTACTTTACATAACGTGAGTTAGGTACCCATCAGAGCTGGGTGGACTCAGGGACGGTCTACAGACTTGAAACCGGATTCGAACTCGAGACTTACGGGTTAGCAGTCTAGCTCTCTACCACTATTCCACTTTGTCCCTTAATAACAAAGCACTTGCTTCTAATTTTTTCCAGTACAAGGGTTGTATCAAAACAGTGTTTAATTGTGTTTGTGTTTAACATCGATACGAGGGTTGTATCAAAACAGTGTTTAATTGTGTTTGTGTTTAACATCGATACGAGGGTTGTATCAAAACAGTGTTTAATTGTGTTTGTGTTTAACATCGATACGAGGGTTGTATCAAAACAGTGTTTAATTGTGTTTGTGTTTAACATCGATACGAGGGTTGTATCAAAACAGTGTTTAATTGTGTTTGTGTTTAACATCGATACGAGGGTTGTATCAAAACAGTGTTTAATTGTGTTTGTGTTTAACATCGATACGAGGGTTGTATCAAAACAGTGTTTAATTGTGTTTGTGTTTAACATCGATACATCGTGACCTATTGCTGGCACACTGACACGTCATGGGACAGACACACTGTCAAGTCCGTGTGACATCATCACGTCATATTACCGTCATATCGTCACGTATTATCACTGTCATATTGTCACGACATATCACTGTCATATTGTCACGACATATCACTGTCATATTGTCACGACATATCACTGTCATATTGTCACGACATATCACTGTCATATTGTCACGACATATCACTGTCATATCATCACGTTATATCACCTATATATGACACGGTCATACTGTCATGTCATATCACTGCCACCGTCTCCTCATGTCAACATTACTTCCTGTCTCCATATCACTGCCACATCAGGTAGGTCATCGTCGCCGACACATCATGTCATGTTGATGACCCATCATGTCATATTGATGACACATCATGTCATGTTGATGACCCATCATGTCATGTTGATGAGCCATCATGTCATATTGATGACACATCATGTCATGTTGATGACCCATCATGTCATGTTGATGACCCATCATGTCATATTGATGACACATCATGTCATGTCACTTACAAATCATGTCATGTTACTGACACATCATGTCATGTCACTGACACATCGCCACTCTATGTCACCACCACAGTCACGAGTCAGCTGTCAACACTTTCCCTGTAATGTAAACAATGATTGATGAGCTACTACATCATGCCCTGCTCGACTTTAAGGGGGAGGGGGTGTGAACAGTCGAATAGAAGCAGATTGTTATCGGAAATCTTGTCTCGAATGTACAAATAAAATGTTAAGTACGACACATCGTGTATTTTTATTGAATTCGATGTTTCGATAATATTCAAGCTAAAGTTTTATTAAGGTTCATTTTTTACATCCTCAAATTAAAGTGTAAATGGAAGTCGGTGTTAAAAAGGGTTTATAATAGTTTATATAATATAATTAATAATAAATAGTTTCATGTGAGGAATAGTAACGCAAATAAAGGGAAATAATCAAAATATTGGTTTAGTAGATAATCCTATAAAGTTATCTCTCTTTTTAAAACTATCAAATAAAAGAACTATCGCCAAATTACACCTTAGGCATTTTAGTATTTCTTATTCTAAAAGTAGTCATCTTTTGCTGTAGCATGCACAGAAACGGCTCTAGTTTTTTTTTCTCTATTTTTAGGTGGAGTAAAACTATCTAAAAGATGAATCGTATTTAAATTACAAACATTTTAAGATTACAATTTAAATATCACTGCAACACATCAATATAAACCTTCAACTCCCGTTTATTGGTTTAGCTCATTCTCTAACATCTGTCAGTTGATACAATTTAAATCACCCCACTCTATCAAAATACACCAACCCAGATTAACTTGATACATTCCACCAATTTCCTCAATTCCCCTACTCATTGTTTGAAAAAACGTGTATGTGTATTTCACAGATAGATACACTCGCCATACAAAAGCCAGAGAAATGTGGGAGAAACATAGACATAATCATGGTACAAGGGCAGGGAACTCTGGGGATCACAGTGCCCCAGGGGCAGAGAACTCACACAGCAGGAGAAAGAGGTCCATCTCTACCAACAAATACGTGGAGACGCTTGTGGTGGTGGACACGGAGATGGTTCAACACTTTGATGGGATAGATGAGGACATAGAGACGTACGTCCTGGCAGTTATGAATGTGGTGAGTTCTAGTTTGTACGTCCTAGCAGTTATGAATGTGGTGAGTTCTAGTTTGTACGTCCTAGCAGTTATGAATGTGGTGAGTTCTAGTTTGTACGTCCTAGCAGTTATGAATGTGGTGAGTTCTAGTTTGTACGTCCTGGCAGTTATGAATGTGGTGAGTTCTAGTTTGTATGTCCTGGATGTTATGAATGTGGTGAGTTTTATTGTGTATGTCCTAGCATTTATGAATGTGTTGAGTTCTAGTTTGTACGTCCTGGCAGTGATGAATGTGGTGAGTTCTAGTTTGTATGTCCTGGCAGTTATGAATGTGGTGAGTTCTAGTTTGTACGTCCTGGCAGTTATGAATGTGGTGAGTTCTAGTTTGTACGTCCTGGCAGTTATGAATGTGGTGAGTTCTAGTTTGTACGTCCTGGCAGTTATGAATGTGGTGAGTTCTAGTTTGTACGTCCTGGCAGTTATGAATGTGGTGAGTTCTAGTTTGTATGTCCTGGCAGTTATGAATGTGGTGAGTTCTAGTTTGTATGTCCTGGATGTTATGAATGTGGTGAGTTCTAGTTTGTATGACATGGCAGTTATGAATGTGGTGAGTTCTAGTTTGTACGTCCTGGCAGTTATGAATGTGGTGAGTTCTAGTTTGTACGTCCTGGCAGTTATGAATGTGGTGAGTTCTAGTTTGTACGTCCTGGCAGTTATGATTGTGGTGAGTTCTAGTTTGTACGTCCTGGCAGTTATGAATGTGGTGAGTTCTAGTTTGTACGTCCTGGCAGTTATGAATGTGGTGAGTTCTAGTTTGTACGTCCTGACAGTTATGAATGTGGTGAGTTCTAGTTTGTACGTCCTGGCAGTTATGAATGTGGTGAGTTCTAGTTTGTACATCCTGACAGTTATGAATGTGGTGAGTTCTAGTTTGTACGTCCTGGCAGTTATATGGGACAAGTTTTTTCTATGTTCTAGCATTTATTATATGTAGTGCCTTCTTGTATCTGATAAGTCAGATAAAATAAAACTCTTTTGTTGAAATACTTCTCTGAACTCCAAACAAAACTCTTTGTTATTTCTAACTTTAGTCAATCGCCTTCTTCTTCGTCGTTCTTAATTTTTTAGTGTTGGAAGGGAGCGAGGTTTGAACTCGAGACTTTTTTTTTTCGAATTTATCAACCGTGAGCTTTTGCCGACTCGACCACACCTCCATCAAGGATACGTGTCAACTGGTTATTCGCCATTGAGGCCATTGACTCCGATTTCAGCCTGCTTTTCTTTTTGGATTTGCTTCCATAGCCTTTGTCCAACCAAGAACAAACTACAAGGCAGCAGTTGTTTGATTTTGGAGTTGTCTCTCCTAGAAGAGTGGCTGTCCCCAGCTATCGAGCCTCATCTGCCCGGGGGTTCGAACTCGAGACTTTTCGGATTAGCAACCATGAGCTTTACCGACTCGACCATGCCGACCCCTACTTCAGTCAATTAAGATCACTAATATTAATTTTACTTCAAAAGATATTTTTCAGTCAATTAAGATCACTAATATTAATTTTACGTCAAAAGATATTTTTCTTGTAGTGGTCCTAAAGTTACTTAAAAAAAAGAGAGGTATTTTTTTTCAAAATTACATGCATTAAATAGTGATGAACATGAGAAACCTAGACATTATAAACGAGATCTATGACAAACTTCAGCATTATAAACTAAATCCATGACAAACCCTAGCATAATAAACCAGAACTGTAACAAACTTCAGCAATATAAACCAGTTCTCCTATATGGGCAGGTAGCCAACTTGTTTCATCAAGCCTCCATTGGAAATGCCATCAACATTGTTGTTGTTAAGATCATTCAGCTAACACGCCCAGAGGTTAGTTTTCTAGTCAATATTTATTGTTTTCACAATTTACATCAGTCAAATACTTACTTTTTGCTTATTTAAAAATAGTTTAATAGCCAATTTAAACAAATTAAAAACTACAACATTATTTTAATGTATACCTGAATTGTTTATAAAATAATGGTTATTCATTTATAATTGAAAAATAAATTTTACATGCATAGACTACACAGATTAAGTTTTGCAAAATAGAGTGTATATTTCTATTGCTGTGGACTATATGAAGTATTTTTTTTATTGTTGTTCTCCCTAGGAAAGCTTACAAATAACCCACCATGCAGACAAAACGTTGAAAAGTTTTTGCAAGTTTCAAAAGGAAGAAAACAATAATACAGATGATGATCACCCACTGCATCATGATGTTGCTGTTCTACTCACTAAGTAAGTTTTAAACATCAACATGTTGCTATTCTACTCACTAAGTTTTAAACATCAACATGTTGCTATTCTACTCACTAAGTAAGTTTTAAACATCAACATGTTGCTATTCTACTCACTAAGTAAGTTTTAAACATCAACATGTTGCTATTCTACTCACTAAGTTTTAAACATCAACATGTTGCTATTCTACTCACTAAGTAAGTTTTAAACATCAACATGTTGCTATTCTACTCACCAAGTAAGTTTTAAACATCAACATGTTGCTATTCTACTCAACAAATAAGTTTTAAACATCAACATGTTGCTATTCTACTCACCAAGTAAGTTTTAAACATCAACATGTTGCTGTTCTACTAACTAAGTTTTAAACATCAACATGTTGCTATTTTACTCACTAAGTAAGTTTTGAACATCAACATGTTGCTATTCTACTCACTAAGTAAGTTTTAAACATCATCATGTTGCTGTTCTACTCACTAAGTAAGTTTTAAACATCAATATGTTGCTATTCTACTCACCAATTCGGACAGAGAGGGTATAGGTCTTATGAATCAAAGTTATGTAAAACACAACAGTTGAACAGCGTGTGACTTTAACCTATGTTGTTTTTTAGTGTTTGTTCTGCACATTGTGGTTTTAGGTGTTTTGGTATCTCTTCTATTCTCCTTGTCTTTACACAAACCTTTCTATTTAATCTCAGTTTTGTCTCACTAAAGAATATGGCCTAATTCTTGCCACTTTCATCCCCTGCTCATTGTTTAATTTGTTTAAAGCTAACAGCAATGACATTATGTTGGTTTACAGAAAAGACATCTGTTCACGCATGAATGAACCATGCAACACACTAGGTCTGGCCCAGGTCAACGGCCTCTGCCAGCCTTACAGATCTTGCAGTATTGTCCAAGACAACGGCGTCCATGTGCCCTGGACCATTGCACATGAGTTGGGACACAAGTTAGTACAACTTTTTCTCTCGTACTCAGATCTAAATAAAATCACAACCTATATAAATATAATTAGATTTTTTGAGTTATTTAAATTATTTATTTATTTTATAAAGTATTTTGAAATAAGAAAAGATAAAAACTTATTTGTTTAAAGTTATGTAGTCCCACAAGATAATCCTGAATTTTTTTTTCTGCTGTGTGCCTCGTTGTCTCCCTTGGCCTTCCCAGTTTTCTTTTTCCTTGAGGTGTCCAGTTTAGAGCCATTCCTATGACATCATCTGGATTCATTCTTTAAACGTGCCCCATCCATCGCCATTTATTTTTAAATTTTGGAAATGGCTTTTATTTCCATTTCTCCTAGTAGTCTATTGGAATTGGTGTTGGGCTAGAGGATGTCTTGTACCCATCTCAGCTATACCACTGTATCAAAATAATCAGTTTTGTAATAATTTTTTGTTTTGTTTCCTGTTTAAGAAAAAAATTAAATGAAGTTTTTTATTTGGCCCATGCACCAGTTTTGGCATGAAACATGACAACCTACAGGAGGGGTGTGAGACAGATGAAATGACAGAGTACATCATGTCTTCTCAGTTCACTGGGGGGCCCAAAAATCTGAAGTGGTCAACCTGTAGTAAAGACGCCATTACCAAATTCTTAGAGTAAGTTCAAATCTTATTCTTTGCTAATTTTTTTTATAAACAAAAAGTTAATTAACTTTAATTAATAATTTTAAAACATATGGTTTAAATTATTTTAAAATAAATAAATGTTTACATTAAGTTCCTATTTATAAAATAAATTAAAAAGTATTTGTTTTATTTAAAAAAAAATCACATTTCTTACAAGAATTAAATTTTTTCAACCAGCCGTGACTGGGGCTACTGTCTAGACGACCCCCCTGGCCCTCAAGTCCCAGCTTACCCTGACAGACCTATAGGAATCATCTATGACGCTGACACACAGTGCAGGTTGCTTTACGGCTACGGGGCAACCAGGTGTAATGAGACTGAAGCCTTGGAGGTAAACATTAACACAACTAGGTGGTAGGTTGTCCTAGCTAGTGGAACATACACAACTAGGTGGGCCTAGCTAGTGGAACATACACAACTAGGTGGTAGGTGGGCCTAGCTATTGAAAGATTTACACAACTAGGTGGTAGGTGGGCCTAGCTATTGGAACATACACAACTAGGTGGGCCTAGCTATTGGAACATACACAACTAGGTGGGCCTAGCTATTGGAACATACACAACTAGGTGGGCCTAGCTAGTGGAACATTAACACAACTAGGTGGGCCTAGCTATTGGAACATTAACACAACTAGGTAGTAGGTGGGCCTAGCTATTGGAACATACACAACTAGGTGGGCCTAGCTAGCGGAACATTAACACAACTAGGTGGTAGGTGGGCCTAGCTATTGGAACATACACAACTAGGTGGACCTAGCTAGTGGAACATTAACACAACTAGGTGGGCCTAGCCATTGGAACATAAACACAACTAGGTGGGCCTAGCTATTGGAACATTAACACAACTAGGTGGTAGGTGGGCCTAGCTATTGGAACATTAACACAACTAGGTGGTAGTTGGGCCTAGCTATTGGAACATTAATACAACTAGGTGGGCCTAGCTATTGGAACATTAACACAACTAGGTGGTAGGTGGGCCTAGCTATTGGAACATTAACACAACTAGGTGGTAGGTGGGCCTAGCTATTGGAGCATTAACAAAACTAGGTGGGCCTAGCTATTGGAACATTAACACAACTAGGTGGTAGGTGGGCCTAGCTATTGGAACATTAATACAACTAGGTGGGCCTAGCTATTGGAACATACACAACTAGGTGGGCCTAGCTAGCGGAACATTAACACAACTAGGTAGTAGGTGGACCTAGCTAGTGGAACATTAACACAACTAGGTGGGCCTAGCCATTGGAACATAAACACAACTAGGTGGGCCTAGCTATTGGAACATTAACACAACTAGGTGGTAGGTGGGCCTAGCTATTGGAACATTAACACAACTAGGTGGTAGGTGGGCCTAGCTATTGGAACATTAATACAACTAGGTGGGCCTAGCTATTGGAACATTAACACAACTAGGTGGTAGGTGGGCCTAGCTATTGGAACATTAACACAACTAGGTGGTAGGTGGGCCTAGCTATTGGAGCATTAACAAAACTAGGTGGGCCTAGCTATTGGAACATTAACACAACTAGGTGGTAGGTGGGCCTAGCTATTGGAACATTAACACAACTAGGTGGTAGTTGGGCCTAGCTATTGGAACATTAATACAACTAGGTGGGCCTAGCTATTGGAACATTAACACAACTAGGTGGTAGGTGGGCCTAGCTATTGGAACATTAACACAACTAGGTGGTAGGTGGGCCTAGCTATTGGAGCATTAACAAAACTAGGTGGGCCTAGCTATTGGAACATTAACACAACTAGGTGGTAGGTGGGCCTAGCTATTGGAACATTAATACAACTAGGTGGGCCTAGCTATTGGAACATACACAACTAGGTGGGCCTAGCTAGCGGAACATTAACACAACTAGGTAGTAGGTGGACCTAGCTAGTGGAACATTAACACAACTAGGTGGGCCTAGCCATTGGAACATAAACACAACTAGGTGGGCCTAGCTATTGGAACATTAACACAACTAGGTGGTAGGTGGGCCTAGCTATTGGAACATTAACACAACTAGGTGGTAGGTGGGCCTAGCTATTGGAACATTAATACAACTAGGTGGGCCTAGCTATTGGAACATTAACACAACTAGGTGGTAGGTGGGCCTAGCTATTGGAACATTAACACAACTAGGTGGTAGGTGGGCCTAGCTATTGGAGCATTAACAAAACTAGGTGGGCCTAGCTATTGGAACATTAACACAACTAGGTGGTAGGTGGGCCTAGCTATTGGAACATTAATACAACTAGGTGGGCCTAGCTATTGGAACATTAACACAACTAGGTGGTAGGTGGGCCTAGCTATTGGAGCATTAACAAAACTAGGTGGGCCTAGCTATTGGAACATTAACACAACTAGGTGGTAGGTGGGCCTAGCTATTGGAGCATTAACACAACTAGGTAGGCCTAGCTATTGGAACACAACTAGAAATTAGATAGTTATTAAAAAACAAAAACACAAATATACCCTACACAAATATTCTCCAAGTAACTATTCAAACTATAAAAACTCAATAAGTCCCATTTTTTTCCATGTAGAGTTTTAAGAAAAACATCCTTTTTAAACTGTATGTAGCTAAGCCCCTTATGACAAGAAATTATTGTTTTAATCTCAGAACATCTGTACAACATTGTGGTGTAGGATACACAACAAATGTGCCACAAACTTGCACCCTGCAGCTGATGGCACCATCTGTGGCAAAGATAAGGTAGGGCTGACTTTAGTTTCTGTGGAGATTTTACTGGAAGGGACATTGCTACTAGTTGCATATGCCCGACATTCTAACATATATATTGCTCATCTTTGTTACTGGAATAAAGAAAATTAAACAGTGGACAACTTTTTCACACTTTCTCACAAATTATAATAACCTGTTTCTGTATGAATTATCTACTGAAGTAAAGCAGCATTTGCTGTTGTTATTTGAAATAACCAAGGGACATAATAATGAAAACTGAGTCTTTTAAAATGATCACAGAGTTCAGGTTCTTAGTGTAATAGTGATATTAATTCAAGATTTAAAAGCTAATTTAAATTGTAAGTGTGTGGTCAATATTTCAGTGATGTGTGTGTGGTCAATATTTTATTTGTGTGTGAGTGTTCAGTGTGTGGTCTATGTTTCAGTGGTGTGTGTGTGGTCTATGTTTCAGTGGTGTGTGTGTGGTCAATATTTCAGTGGTGTGTGAGCAGTCAGTGTGTGGTCAATATTTCAGTGGTGTGTGTGTGGTCAATATTTCAGTGGTGTGTGTGGTCAATATTTCAGTGGTGTGTGTGGTCTATGTTTCAGTGGTGTGTGAGCGGTCAGTGTGTGGAACTGGCTGACAGACCTGCTATAGATGGACAGTGGGGAGAGTGGGCTGAATGGACATCCTGCACCAGAACCTGTGGGGCGGGGATCAGCTTTTCTGAGAGACATTGTGACCATCCCCCGTAAGTCTAGAATCCACTGTCTACTTACACATCTGTAATAAGCTCAGACATCAACTGTAAGCATGTAACACAATCACTTGTACAATCCACTGTCTACTTACACATCTGTAATAAGCTCAGACATCAACTGTTAGCATGTAAAAAATGTCACACAATCACTCATTTCACACATTCACTTTTGTCATGCACTCGATTCAAACTTTTAGACCCATAAATACTCTTGTCACACATTCACTCATTTGTCCCAATTACTCATCACTCAGTCATATCACACGTATGCCATACAACAAAACACCAACTACCAATAACACCAGGACTACAACAACATCATCATTTTTCACAGGCCTGAACATGGAGGCAAATATTGTACAGGGGAAAGAAAACGTTATAGGATTTGTAACAGTGAGGTAAGTTTGGGGTAAATTTAGGATTTGTAACAGTGAGGTAAGTTTGGGGTAAATTTAGGATTTGTTATAGTGAGTTAAGTTTGGGGTAAATTTAGGATTTGTAACTGAGGTAAGTTTGGGGTAAATTTCGGATTTGTAACAGTGAGGTAAGTTTGGGGTAAGTTTAAGATTTGTAATAGTGGGACAAGTTTTGGGTAAATTTAGGATTTGTAACAGTGAGGTAAGTTTGGGGTAAATTTAAGATTTGTAATAGCGAGACAAGTTTGGGGTAAGTTTAGGATTTGTAACAGTGAGGTAAGTTTGGGGTAAATTTAAGATTTGTAATAGTGAGACAAGTTTGGGGTAAGTTTAGGATTTGTAACAGTGAGGTAAGTTTGGGGTAAATTTAGGATTTGTAACAGTGAGGTAAGTTTGGGGTAAGTTTAGGATTTGTAACAGTGAGGTAAGTTTGGGGTAAATTTAGGATTTGTAACAGTGAGGTAAGTTTGGGGTAAGTTTAGGATTTGTAACAGTGAGGTAAGTTTGGGGTAAATTTAGGATTTGTAACAGTGAGGTAAGTTTGGGGTAAATTTAGGATTTGTAACAGTGAGGTAAGTTTGGGGTAAGTTTAGGATTTGTAACAGTGAGGTAAGTTTGGGGTAAATTTATAATTTGTAACAGTGAGGTAAGTATGGGGTAAGTTTAGGATTTGTAACAGTGAGGTAAGTTTGGGATAAATTTAGGATTTGTAATAGCGAGACAAGTTTGGGATAAATGTAGGATTTGCAACAGTGAGGTCAGTTTAAAATTAATCTCTACAACTGTTATCATCCCCAGAGCTGTCAGAATGAGACAATGACTTTCAGAGCGGAACAATGTGCCCACTACAATAGTCAGCTTTATAAAGGTTCTTTATACGAGTGGGAGCCCACGCCTAACCCAGGTCAGCTTTATAAATGTTCTTTATGTATGTGTGTAAGTCTATATCTAACACAGGTTAACATATTGAAGAGGAAACAATCCCAGCCTAGTTTAGACATGAGACAGATATTCATCACATGTTCATGTTTGGTGTTAGAGGTGTTTGAAGATATTATACACTCAGTTGCATCACATTACGAAGGAGGGTTGTGGTCAGGGGCGGATTAAGCTTGGGCGGGGCCCCAGGCTGAAACTTTTTGGGGCCCCCCCTGATATATATATATATATATATATATATATATATATATATATATATATATATATATATATATATATATATATATATATATATATATATATATATATTAATATATATATCCTAATCAGCATACTATTCAAGATATTAATGGATTATTTATAACTTACAGGAACATTCGACACCGATATTTACAAAACTGCTTCTACTTTAAAAAGCTTTCAATTGTGTTCAATGAGCGGTAAATTGGATACATTCTTAATTTTGTGCCCTCCAACGCAATTAAGTATACGTGTCAACTGGTTAGGCGCCATTGAGACCATTGACTCCGATTTCAGCCCGCTTTTCTTTTTTTAATTTGTTTTCATAGCCTTTGTCCAACCAAGAACAAACTACAGCAGATGTTTGATTTTGGAGTTGTCTCTCCTAGAAGAGTGGCTATCCCCATCTAACGAGCCTCATCTGCCCGAGGATTTGAACTCGAGACATTTCGGTTAAGCATCCACGAGCTTTACCTACTAGCATCCCCTAGCATCTAACCAATATGTACTCATTTTTATCATGATTATATGTTGCCCCCACCCACTACCACGACACACACACTAACAAAACACAGGCGAGATCCATCCGCTACGTCAGTAATACTAAATATACGACTGTTTAGTTTAGGCCTGTTGAAGTTTCCGACCTCTACCCCGCGATCTAGCCGGGTACCAGACGGTAAGACGATGTCCCGCGTCTGGTGGTGGGGGAAGTAAAGCCTGGATAGAGCCTACGGATTAATAAACGACCATCATGTAGTGTTTCAAACCAACATCTCAGTGAGACTGATTCAGTCCAAAATTTGCCATTTAGTTGGAGTTCACTACGTCGAGACCTCCCTGGCTAATGAGAGTCAAACTCCTGAGCCGCTATATCCTTGTTACAATAGTTATTGAACTGTCATTCACGTATTTATATTAGGCATGAGAAAGCTGGAAATGCAGACTAACATTAAACACATGTAAATATCAATGACAATATTATAATGTCGTTACAGAGCAGACGATAAAAACTGGTGCACTTGTTTGATTATAGACGAAAAAAGAAAACAAAGAATATCTAACCACATTATGTCGGAAACTATCAATAACATACAGGGGTTAAACTAGGCCCAACTAAAACTAGTAAGCACGGTATAAGCGTAAAAAAACACACTTCCATCCTCTTTAGGTGTCATCCATTTATGAGGCCAACAAAAAGTTGGATTTCCACAGGCGTCCATTTAAAGAACGTCATCCCTGGCTTGTACACCCGATATTAACATTCACTAAAAGTAAAAGCCTATAAGTGTTTTTAAAAGTTTAAATCATAGAGTGTTCACACCAGATTCAATCCATTTATGTGTCAGAATGTGACCGCTGTTTTTGTTTTTAACTCTAAAATAAACCCAATTTATTGTTATAAGCAAACGGTGTCCGGGCTGGTATTTATACTAAAGTGTGTGCTCGAGTTTGATATTTTGATCAAAAATTGAAATAAACTTGTCATTCAAATATTAAAACATTGGATTTTATAGTAAAAAAAACCCCCAAAGATTTCACTTTAAAGGAAAATTTACTATGATTGAAAAAGGAAATTTGGGGGCCCCTAAAAATCGGGGGCCCCTGGCTGCAGCCCCCTCAGCACCCCCCTTAATCCGCCACTGGTTGTGGTCCTTATTGGGTGACATTATTGACTGTGGTGACACCAACACCATGGCACCACCCCTACCCTTGGTGACCCCCACCAATACCATGGCACCACCCCTACCCTTGGTGACACCACCAATACCACGGCACCACCCCTACCCTTGGTGACTCCACCAACACCATGGCACCACCCCTACCCTTGGTGACCCCCACCAATACCACGGCACCACCCCTACCCTTGGTGACCCCCACCAACACCACGGCACCACCCCTACCCTTGGTGACCCCCACCAACACCACGGCACCACCCCTACCCTTGGTGACCCCCACCAATACCATGGCACCACCCCTACCCTTGGTGACCCCCACCAATACCACGGCACCACCCCTACCCTTGGTGACTCCACCAACACCATGGCACCACCCCTACCCTTGGTGACCCCCACCAATACCACGGCACCACCCCTACCCTTGGTGACCCCCACCAACACCACGGCACCACCCCTACCCTTGGTGACCCCCACCAATACCATGGCACCACCCCTACCCTTGGTGACACCACCAATACCACGGCACCACCCCTACCCTTGGTGACCCCCACCAACACCACGGCACCACCCCTACCCTTGGTGACCCCCACCAATACCATGGCACCACCCCTACCCTTGGTGACCCCCACCAATACCACGGCACCACCCCTACCCTTGGTGACCCCCACCAACACCACGGCACCACCCCTACCCTTGGTGACCCCCACCAATACCATGGCACCACCCCTACCCTTGGTGACCCCCACGAATACCACAGCACCACCCCTACCCTTGGTGACCCCCACCAATACCACGGCACCACCCCTACCCTTGGTGACTCCACCAACACCATGGCACCACCCCTACCCTTGGTGACCCCCACCAACACCATGGCACCACCCCTCCCCTTGGTGACCCCCACCAATACCATGGCACCACCCCTACCCTTGGTGACCCCCACCAATACCATGGCACCACCCCTACCCTTGGTGACCCCCACCAACACCACTGCACCACCCCTACCCTTGGTGAACCAACACCACTGCACCACCCCTACCCTTGGTGAACTAACACCATGGCACCACCCCTACCCTTGGTGACCCCCCATCAACACCACGGCACCACCCCTACCCTTGGTGACCCCACCAACACCACTGCACCACCCCTACCCTTGGTGAACCAACACCATGGCACCACCCCTACCCTTGGTGACCCCCACTGACACCATGGCACCACCCCTACCCTTGGTGACCCCACCAACACCACTGCACCACCCCTACCCTTGGTGAACTAACACCATGGCACCACCCCTACCCTTGGTGACCCCCCATCAACACCACGGCACCACCCCTACCCTTGGTGACCCCACCAACACCACTGCACCACCCCTACCCTTGGTGAACCAACACCATGGCACCACCCCTACCCTTGGTGACCCCCACTGACACCATGGCACCACCCCTACCCTTGGTGACCCCCCACCAACACCATGGCACCACCCCTACCCTTGGTGACCCCCCACCAACACCATGGCACCACCCCTATCCTTGGTGACACCACCAACACCACTGCACCACCCCTACCCTTGATGACCCCCACTGACACCATGGCACCACCCCTACCCTTGGTGACCCCCACTGACACCATGGCACCACCCCTACCCTTGGGGACCCCCCACCAACACCATAGCACCACCCCTACCCTTGGTGACCCGCATCATGCCAACCCCTAATAAGCTGCAGTAAAACATGAAACATACAAGTTTGGTGAAAAAGTTTGTTGAAGGTGTTACTGCCACATCAAATGTTTTCCATTGTGCCCCCACAGGAAACCCATGTCAGTTGATCTGTAAACCAAAAGAAGAACATTTCTCCGTCCTGTTGAATGACATTGTGAAGGATGGAACTCCCTGTATAACTGGAACTAGGAGCATGTGCATCAGTGGCAGATGCAGGGTAAATGAAATCTTCTCTAGTCTGGAACTTTTTTAATCATGTTAAAACATGACAATCATAAGTAACTTTCATGCGTGGTACATAATGTATCTACTAAGTAAATCCTCAAAAGTCTGTGTCATTTTATGTCAGATGTCATCTTAAGGAACTGGTAACTCTGTAATTTTTAAATGTAAACGCTGAGAGGGTCTACACATTCGCACAGTTGTCGTATGAGTTATATGTGCAATCATTATTTATGCTGGAAAACATGATAGCCGAATTTGTTTCATTACTTGAAAAAAGTTATTCTGATTCATATACAACCAATGACAATAATTATTTTTTAACAATAGACATATGTGCACACTTTAAATTTATCTTTTGTTTATCCGTGTTTTGTTTAGCTTGTAGATTCCAATAACATTTTATTTTATCCATGTTTAGCATGTAGGCTGAGACTGGATCATAGATTCCAATAACATTTTATTTTATCCATGTTTAGCATGTAGGCTGTGACTGGATCATAGATTCCAATAACATTTTATTTTATCCATGTTTAGCATGTAGGCTGTGACTGGATCATAGATTCCAATAACATTTTATTTTATCCATGTTTAGCATGTAGGCTGTGACTGGATCATAGATTCCAATAACATTTTATTTTATCCATGTTTAGCATGTAGGCTGTGACTGGATCATAGATTCCAATGCTGTAGAAGATAAATGTGGTGTTTGTTTTGGTGATGGCTCAACATGTACAACTATCAAACAACAATTCAACGAAACAAAAAAACTAGGTCAGTCTGTCCTTGTGTATAAATATCATCAACTTTTTATTTGTTGTTATTGAATGTAAGAAATCAAGATTTTATTAAAATAATTGTTTCGAATCTTTATTAATTTTTATTCCCATTAAGGGCATGGGCGGGTGATGAAAACCAAAATAACCAATATGCTTGTTTCTAAACCTAATGCTATAATGTTTAGCATAATATAGTTAAGACTTAGAGTTAAGTCTAAAAATATAAAAAATGGCCGAAAATTTCATGTTGTTGCCATGGTGATGGCAGCCATCTTGGATTTTATTTACCTATTAGTTGCTTATTTTTTATATAGTCTACCTCTCATAGTTAGTTTTTTTTATAGATGTTTATAAAATCTAGGTCCTACATAAAATTACTTTTTGAAATTGTTTTTCATTGTTATTCATACATTTATATGTAGCTTAACTCACTATGTCTGTTTGTATAGGCTATGTAGAAGCTACTGTAATACCTGCTGGGGCAAGGAACATTAGAGTGGAGGAGGTGGCTGAGGCCAATAACTTTTTGGCTTTAAAAAATGACGCAGGGAAATATTATTTAAATGGCTATTGGTTTATTCAGGTGGGTAATGACATGTCCCTCCAACACAATTAAGTATACGTGTCAACTGGTTATGTACCATTGAGGCCATTGACTCCGATTTCAGCAGTTGTTTGATTTTGGAGTTGTCTCTCATAGAAGAGTGGCTGTCCCCAGCTAATGAGACTCATCTGCCCGTGGGTTTGAACTTTGAACTAGAGATTTTTTGGTTTAGCAACCATGAGCTTTACCGACTCCATCACCCCGCCCCCTACTGTGTCTTTAATTTGTTTCAAAACACTTATAAAAATAAATCTTCTGTATTTTATGTTAATATATATATATATATATATATATATATATATATATATATATATATATATATATATATATATATATATATATAATGTTTTGAATAAATTCATGAAATGCAAATAAAAAAACATATTAACTATAACTATTTAATAATTTATTAGTGTAAAAGTATAACATACTTTTATGATGATAGAAAGTTTATCTACAACAAATTGTCCAATCTAAACAGTGGTCTGGTGACTACGAGGTTGCTGGGACAATAATTCATTACAAAAGAGTTGGAAACAAGGAAGTTTTTTTGGCCCCTGGTCCTCTTAAAGAACCGTTGCACATTATGGTAAAATCATTGACGTCTTTTCTTGGTTCTTAACCCTTTTCTTACTTAAGCATTATTCATTACAGATGCCATTTGCAGATATTCTAAAAGCTACATACTGTTAGTGTAATCAATGTTGTGTTAAAATGGGTTTTTTACCAATTGACCATACTCTAGCCATATCATTGTTCTTAATGAGACATTCTTCCTACACAAAAAAAAAACTTACTATCATGTTATGATTTGAGGTTGTTTTTTTTAGTTTTACCTTATGTGCAAAATGATATATTTTAAATCTGCAATATAAACTTTTTTATGTTTTAAGCTAGTTAGAAGAAATTGATTTTTTTTTCAATTATTTCTATGTCTGAACTAAAAAAAGATTTTTAAAGTACTCCTAATTTTTTTTATTTAGACATGTTTACCATTTTGTTGTTGAATTTGTGAACTATTCATTACAATACAACTCAAAATCCCTAAAACAAAACTGACTTAAGACAAATGTGGATTGTGGAATAATGACAGCCAAATTTTCTGACAGCTTTTGATGCAGTCTCACAACCCTGGGGTAGAGTTTGAGTACACCGTGCCTAAAGAAAACGCAACAGACACCAGGAAACCAGAGTACAACTGGGACTACACAGCCTGGTCACACTGTACACTCTCTTGTGGTGGAGGTAAAAATACACAACTTCAAAATGTTCATCTTCAAAGTTAAAATAAATTAAATGGGTTTTTTATAAGCCTGAAAACACATTCTATATATATATATATATATATATATATATATATATATATATATATATATATATATATATATGTATATATTCTATATATATATATATATAAATATATAATATATTTTTCTTTTGTAAAAATAAATGTAATATCTTAAATAGATGTTTTGTAGACTTGAGGGGTAACTGGGAGTTCAGCTTAATTTATCTTGCTGAGAAAATATCAGGTCTTACACGTACTTCATTAGATTGATCAAATCCTTTCACTTAGGACCATTGTCTTTGTTTTTAAATTGTAAACTATACAGGCGATATTAACTTTCAAAATAGAAATGCACTGTTCAAAAGAAAAATATGTACCAATATATATATATATATATATATATATATATATATATATATATATATATATATATATATATATATATATATATATATATATATATATATATATATAAATATATATATATATATATATAAATATATGTATATATATACATACACATACATATATATCTTGTATAATGTATATGTCTATGATATTGGTTTACAGGAACTCAGCGCTCCTCTGTGGTATGTAAAGAGCTAGAGAATGTCATTGTAGATGATATGAACTGTGACCAGAACAGCAAGCCAGATGATAAGCTGAGAGTCTGTAATGTCCACCTATGTCCAGCTCGGTAGGTTGTCTCGTCCTATTCAAACTGTGGTCTCCTCATATAGTTTTCAAACTTTTTACTTGTTAATTTATAAGTAAACAGAACATTAATTTTATTATTACAACTCTTTGAAGAGTACTTTACACTTTACTGCAATGACAGGCAATGGAATATCTAAAATGGGCCTAGTGGGAATTAAGATTTTTTAAAGATCATTAGTGCTACTGCGCTAACCCTGTTTAATGTCATAACTTAAACAATTGAAAATATAAATTACCTTCAAAACCAATCAGGTGAAGTAAGTAGAGTTTATCTGCTTCTCTGACACCTGGATATGACTATCTTCTAATTCCCCTGACTAAGATCTGGATAGATTCAGATGCCCTATATGCTAACTCTTAAGCCCATTTAAGGGGGTCTAGACTTTTAACTACGGTGCCCCTTACTGCTTGACCAAATGGTCCCTTAACTAATTTTATCATCATGGGACATATGAAGTAGAGTTTACCTATTTCAATTACTTCTACATATGAGGATATAATAGTGTGGTCAGCACTGTGCCCAGCCACTTTGCTTTTCCCTAATGTGAGTCAGGTACTCTACAGAGCTGGGTGGACTCAGGGACGCCCTACATACTCGAGCCTGGGATCCAACTTTGAGACCTTCTGATCAGCAGTTGTAATCTCTGCCATCTAACCGTGTCATTCCCACTTAAATAATTTAATTAATTAAAATAGTCTAATTAACTAAAATTAAAACAATTTTTCTTAGTTGGTGGACAGGGGCATGGCAGCGTTGCTCAGTGACCTGTGGAGACACAGGCACCCACCGCAGAACTGTCATCTGTGTGCGCAGTCTAGGCTCCAGTGAGCAGATAGCGCTGGAAGACAAGGACTGTGAAAGTCTGGACAGGCCAGAGGAAGTAGAGCCGTGCCATCACAAAGATCCGTGTCCTGGTGTGGGGGTGTGGCAGGCTGAAGAGTGGAGCGAAGTAAATAGTTTCTTTACATTTTTGTTCCGATTTTTTTAAAAATATTGTGGATTTTTAAAATCAGAAATTTTTAAATTAAACTTTACATATTTTGTATTATTCTTTGTTATAGCTTAATTAATGCTGATATAAAGTACTAATTATGGCAATACTTTAAAGTCAATTAATTTATGCTTCAATTATTAAAGATTACTTCCTATAATGTTAAAAATATACATAAGCCTATTTATTTTAATCAGCAAAAAGATTTTAGTTTCTTCTGTTTTATAGAAGCTTTAAACAAGGAGTCCCCTTGCTAAACTTATTTTTTTCAATTTTTCCATTTTTTTAAAAAATGAGTTACATTTTAATATCAATTATAGTGTGCCGATTATAAAGAATAATTTCGGAAAGTCACACTTTAAACTGCAACTTTTACCAGTAAAAATTAAAAATTCTAAGCTTAATTAAAAAAAAAAATTTGAGGTCAGTTTGTGCAAAAATAATCTTAAAAGACATAGTGAGCATTGCAAGTGGACTCCATTAAATCTGAGCTCCTGAAATATATTTTTTATTATTGCCTACCTCTAAAATGAGTTCTGAATCCGTATCACACAGTGCTCAAGGCTATGTAATGGAGGTGTACAGTTCCGAAGGGTAACGTGTGTGGGCGGGGTCATATGTGATGACCAGAAACCAGAGGTCAACAGGTCATGTAATGAGAAACCATGTCTGGATGAGAACCTCAACATTCTAGAAGGTGGGGCAGACACAGACGACCTCAACCCAAAATTTCCAGTCCCGTCCGGCATGTTGTCACAAAATGAACAAAGTTTTGACAACAATAAAAATGTCATAATTGCTAAATCTCATTCTGAAATCGGGGGGATGAAGAAAAATGAAGATGTCCCAACACACCACAAACACAGGCTGCATCATTCACACCTCCATAAAAAGAAGAGTGATAGTCCAGATATGTCGACAAATATAGCAGAAGATGCATCCATCAAAAGTCGATCTGCGACAGCAGAAAACTCAAATAGTCCAAGGCAATTGGAACACAAGGGCTTCAACTTTGCCTGGCAAATCTCAGCATGGAGTGAGGTAAAATCATATTCTCATGTTTCAAAAGTTATAAGCAAGCAAATGAAGAGAATTTTTTTTTATTTGTTAAGATTAAGTAATTTAACAAAAGTGATGAATTTAACAAAATTCATATTACTATGGTCCAATATACAAATACATTATGGCCCAATATTTTTATATTCCAACAACCAATACAGTATGCTCCAAAATAGAAATACATTATGGCCCAATATTTTCTTATCCCATAGACCAATAAATTATGGTCTAAAATTTATATTCATTATGGTCCAATATTTTCATGAATCAGTTTGTCTTTACTGGCAAGTTGGTGATTGGTCAGAGGTAGGCTTTGATATCTGGCATTGTATTTACATCATGTTTAGTGGGGAGGTTTTTTAAATCTTGCTTGTATATTTACATTGGTTTTTGAATGCAAATTTTATAAGTAAAAATTCAAATAAATTCTTAAAAAATAGGTAATTTGCCCACCTGTCTTAACAGAATAATAGACAGTATTCCCATCTTATTAGAAGTATAGTCAGTATTCCCATCTTATTAGAAGTATAGTCAGTATTCCCATCTTATTAGAAATATAGTCAGTATTCCCCAGGGGCGGAACTACAGTGCCGCCAGACCCCGCAATGCGGGGGGGCCCACGTCATTTAGGGGACCACGTCATTTAGGGGCCCACAGCCGACCATAATATTTTTTTTTATAGTTAAAAATTTAATTCTCTTGCATTTTTGACTTGATTGTTGTTTTGTAAAAAAGATCACCGTAGCTGCGGTTGGATTATCTTTATTCTATAGACACCACCCCACGCTCTTGTATATTCTTTTTCCCTTTGTTTTTAAACCATTGTGAAGGCCGAGT